ACATTAAACAGTTAAAATAATTAAATAACTGAATTAGAACATATCATGAAGCAACAACGGTTCATTGCAGCCTCCGACCTGAAAGCCGCCACGAGGAAAATTGAATTTACTGCCGACTCAATTCCTGTTAACTCGTAAAGCAGGGCATTAGGTGGATTGGATTACGATTTAAATCTCTAATCCTGCAAATACGACGCATTGCAGGTGTATCGTCTGGGATACAATTTATGCTGAATCTGTATTATGATATGCTTTTACATTATTTTGGCCAATTACATGAAAAAAAATAATTATAAAACAGTTGGTAATCTAATAAAATCTATTATTTTGAAAAAAAGTAAAAACAATTTTTGTAGCAAATAGTATTTTTGAAAAAAAAAAATGCTTGAATTAAATGATTAATATTAATTATACTATAATTACCATCAGGGTCGTGTGGTAGATTTTCTCAGTGTAGAGCAACTTAACTTTTTATCTCTAAAACAGCGATTTCCAAACATTTGGCTATTGCGCCTCACTTGAAAAAATAAATTCAACGATAAATGGATTAAACCATAGTAATTTATAAATACTCGCTACATTCCCCAAACATCCAGCTTTCATATGCATCTTTTGGCTACATCAAATCTATTATAGTTTTCGAGGAAATCACAATATAAAAACACAGCTTTTTCAAATGTAATTATTTCATTTTTTCAGCATTAAACGCGAATTACAGCCAAATGGATAAAATCATAGCAATGTCTGAATACTAGCTACATTCCCTACATTTCCTCATTCACCCAAAATCTCCAAAATCGCAACTTAAATTGCGAATTACAGCTAAATGGATGAAACCACAGCAATGAATATTTTTAATATCTATCTATTATTCAAATGCGATCTGATAATGGTATTTAAATATTTGCACTTTCCGAATAACGAGACTTCCAAACTTGCTTAAATTCTTGATATATGAAAGCAGAATATTTAACGTATTTAAAAATAATTCGATCGATTTGAGTGAAATTGAAATTGACGTATAAAATAAAAGGCTCGTCGGAGAGGCTTCTCGCAAAGTGGAATATTTGAATGCAATTAAATAATATTTAAAATTCCTGGTGACAATATCCATGCATCTTCTTCGACTTTCGCTATCGCTTCGAAAAGAGAAGCTTCATGAATGTTTCATGCGTTATTCAAAGAAGTGTTCCTCTTCCCTGCGTTCATTTGACTCATTCAAATTTCAATCGCGGTTTGCATTCCGATGCATTTGGCAAAAAAAGAAAACGAAATTGATCTGATAGATAAATAAAACATGTAATACGCATAAAACAACAATTACTGATATATCCAATTACGCGCAATTATTACATACAAATATTCCAAATAAAGGTAGACACGCATATATGTATATCGTTTATATTAATTACAAATGGAAAGTACGAACTGTTATGTTATTGGTAAATTACCGGTGATTAGATTTTATTGTAATGCGTTCACTTTTAGAGTATTTAATAAATTGAAAGGTACAGTTTAATGATGCTAAGTGCATGCTACAATGTTTATTTTTTATTGAACTGATCAGTTTGTTATGGCATTCCATTTAGATTATGAAATAAATGCTTAAAATTCTAGGTCACAATTGATATTATAAACTTCAGTAGAATTTAGTTACTTTTCGGGTGTGTGTAAAACGGGTCAACGTGACCCGTCTATAGCAAATACGTTCATGAAATATCATCAATATTTGGATTCAAATTGGAATAACTTTGGATTCGTATGTAGCAAAACGGGGAAAATCATAATTCTGATATCCATTATGTACCTCACTAATACTTTGAATGAAAATACAGAAAATCCTGATATTATACATAAGAAAACAGCAGACACTTTGTTCCTATTTTTGTGATATTTAATAATTGGGTCATTTTGACACCTAAATTATTTTTAGATTTCTTCAAGACATCTGATTTTTTAAATATTAATAAAATGTTATAATGGAAAAGATATGTGTTATTTGGCAATATGAAGATAATTTGTGTGAACTCGAATGGAGAACAATAATAGTCAACGAGCATTTCAATACAGGTAAGGAAGAATGAGTTCATTAAAATATTAAAATTGCATTATTCCTTTTCCGGGAAGGCGACTGTCGTCAACAAAGGATGGAAACGACTTGCATAAAAGCTCATTAATTGCTTCGAGTTCACAAAATGCTAATATAGAGCATAGTAATCTCGAATATACTCTTTAATATTACCTTTATTGTGTAGCTATTGGGATGGAAGGTAGAGTAGGAATTCAAAATAATGAATTGTTCGCATTTACCAATCAAGCAACTGAGTATTTTTTTTATCAACTTTTCCTTACTTAATTAATAATTATTATGTAACAAAAATACAATTAATAATAAAAGACGATATAAATTATAATCCAAGTTTTTATTATGTGGTCCTATTTGTAGGTTCTAGGGTTTATCGGCTCTCACAAATTTTGTTGGGAATCGAACCAACGATCTTTCGTATCAGTTATTATTAAATGATGTACCACTGCGTGTTTGTTTGGTTGCATATCTTTAAATATGAATAAGACTTTATTTCTTATAGAAATCTCATAAAATATTAATTTCTATTAAATGAATTAATTTGAATATTTCTATTTCTAAACATTATATAAATAAACAATTTGTAATATGCAGTCAAGTTAACAGTAATGCAGTAGTTGTAAATATAAATGTTCATTCTAGTATTATTGCTCTTTGCGAAAAGTATTCGAATAAATTTTGAATAAATGAATATTATTTATAACTTTGCATTTATGTAAACTCAACTTTTATATTTTTTTCATATGAATACTTACATTACAATTTATGAACTTTTCACAACATTTACCAGAACATGAATATCACATCGTAATCGATTGCAATACAAAAAATAAATAAATAAGAAAAACTTGCGTATTAATAATTACAATGATTTTCTTGTAACTTTTATGCAATACATGATTTATGTGGATCTTTTTGCGTAAATCTCGTTTTCGCATGTAATACGTTTTGCGACATTTATCTAATTTCACAAGAAACTGTTACATATGTTGTGTTATATTTTTATGTATATATTTATATATGTTCAATTGTGATGAAATCAGAGGACGGCAATAACATGTATAATAAAAGAGGTTTATTTTATACTCCTCCTCTACACGATATTGATTTTCTATTCAACAAAGTTAAAGAGAAGCTTATGCTCTTATTGATTATGCAAATATGCTGCTGTTGCTTGTGAAAGCATAGATACTTACATAAAAGAGCATTTTTTATATTAAACTATATTTTATTTAATACATTAATTTTTGTTTCAAATTGATAATCAAAATGTTTATATTTAGAAAACTACAAATTTTACTTAATGTTTGAGTTATTTATTTTTTAAATTCGATAGTTCATTCTATAAATGTGTCAAAAGGTCAAACAGAGAATGTAACGCAAAGTACTTTTGTGGTCGAAACTGAAGTGAAATTCAGTGAATGCTAATGTTCTTTGCTAAAACAGATCAGTAATAAAAAAGCGTATATTCTAATATCTAGAAGTTAATTATTTTTTTTGATCAGAAATTAGCAATTATAACTTAAAAAAAACGAATAGTAAAAGTGCTATTACTTGGAAAAGATTGCTATCAAATTGGTAATGAATATCCTAAACTGGACACGATTCCATTCACCTTATGCAATCGCTTATAGGAATTGATTTAAAGTATGATTAGTTATAATGACTTCATTGATTGCAAATGCATTTGTTGCAACCGAAAATGTGAATATTATCAAAAAAAAAACGGGTATTTTCCACGTTGCGCAATAAAAATGCAAGTCATAATATTATTTGTTACCTTACCACAATTCTGTAGGAGTTATTTATGTCTACGTTTATGGACTCACCTGGAACAAAACAATAAAGAACTGTTATTAAAATGGACCAATTATATAAAAATAATAATGTGGTTTCGAAATATTTTCAAAAGCGTACTAAATTTACATCAAATACAAATTGGTTGTTTGATTTAGTGAACCAGATTACGTAACGCGTTACCAAACTCATATATGTCTCGCTCAGACAATAATAGTCATGCGTTCGTTCCCTCATGGTCAAAATCGTTTCATTATTGCCATTATCGCAGCCTTCGCAGTCGCCCGAATGCATTGAACGTATATTCAAAAGAAGGATTGACGCTTTCATGATTAATTACAATACCCACAAAAAAAATAAATAAAACAAAAATTATATGAAATAAGAACTGGTTTTTAGAATCGTATGGGATTTAAATTTCACTTTTTATTGGTCTCGATATTTTCTTTTTCGTAAACAGGATCTGCCGGTTTTATTACATAACAACATTTTTTTTTTTCATCATAATTATTTGGTCCGAATATGATCAGAGCTGAATGTAAATAGTGTTAATTGATGATAATAGGTGCGTAATTAATTAAAAGTGAGCTGCAATTTGGAGAGGGGAAATTGATTTAACTTTTACTCGTAACGATAATCGCCGTTTCATGTAAATGTTGTTGAATGAAAATTGCGCTTTTTTTTTATTCGGTTCGGATTTATTTACGTTGCGTAAGATGATGCAAACACGTGCGTTGCGTCGGTTTACGGAAAATTATGTTAAAGGAAGAAAAAAAAACGGCAAGTGAAAAAAAAAAACTTTTACGCACATCTGATTTAATGAATCCGAAGAGTGCGAAGAAGTGAAAGGACTTGACCGAGTCATATTCATGTCGCATAACGTAAAATCCAACTTATGTTGTTTTTGTATGGCTGCATCATCGAACATT